TGTGTGTGTGTGTGTGTGTGTGTGTGTGTGTGTGTGTGTGTGTGTGTAAGTGAAACAAGGCATTTCTTGAGTTGCTGTAAATTATACTATAATACATACTATAATACATACTATAATACATACTATAATACATACTATAATACATACTATACCGTCTTTCTCATTCTAGAAAACAGCAGCAAACAATGACAGCCTTCATGATGGAAAGACATCATGCACACCACAGCAGCGGTCTTGACTGAAAGCATCTTTAACATGATTGTTACTGACACGAGTCCTCTGTCGATGGTTGAAGATGAAGGCTTCACTACAATGATCCACACTTTTAATCCAGGTTACACTCTTCCCTCAAGGACACATTTTACAAAGCTCATGGAGAGAACGTATGATTTGCTATGTCAGCCAAATGTTACATTTTAGAATAAAGAGGTGGAAATTATTATTATTATTATTATTATTATTTGGGTAATTCATTGATTAGTTGAGAAAACAATCAACCAATTAATCGATTATTGAAATAATCATTAGTTGCAGCCCTACATGAAATACACAGTAAAATAAAGTTAGTCCGCAGTTTGATTCTGTGACGTCAGTTCAGTGAAAACATGTGAACAACAATACATCTGGTGCATTACAGCACAGCTGAAAACAACTCAATAGTTGAATGGATTCAAAATAAAATCAAGAATGATCGGGTATCCACCTTATTCCTGGGGTCTCTACTGTATAAATGATTATGGGTAGGCCTACAACGTCCTGTCTGAGAACGGAAGTAGACGTAAGCGTTGGTCAACTATAGCGGAGCACAGACCGTGGTTTATTTTAAAGTAATTTGCATTCGGTTTATCAGATAAAATGCTGTTTATGTTTTGTTCTCATTTATTTAACAGCCATTAAGTTTACAAAAATAGCCTTGCGAAGTTCAGGTACCTGTTGTGTTGTTTGCACGAACAACCAGACCAAATTAAATCAGTGGCTACAACAACAGTGTTTTGAACATGGACCCAAAACAAACCAAAAAAGTTCCTGTGAAAAGAGGTATAGTTTCCTACATACAGATGAGGAATTAAGAAGAATGTGGCTGAAAAATCTGAATTAGAAGTCACAGTCACTGTTTTGATTTTTTTGTGGATCAGAAGCTAAACATATTTCATGTACCAATGATTTATACAACCATAGAGCCGTCAGTCCACCAATGAAGATCTTTTTGTTCGTCTACTGAAAATATGTCTTCAGTTCTTATTTCAGAAACATAAAAGTGATTGTAAGCTTTTAGACATTGAAGAGTGAACACAGTGGACTGAGGTCTTGATAATTTCTTCCAAAGCCAGAGTGTCCCAGAACGCTGGAACTTAAGGTGTTAGAGATTTAAGTGGCTATCTGAGCTTCACCTTTTCCCTTGACTCACCTTTCTCACATCGTATCACACATTCTTGCCACACCTTGAGCTGTAAAATTGTTAAGTCCAAACACCATATCATCTCCTCTCATATTTTGGTCTACTTTTCTCTCCTTTAAGTCAAATTTGAACAAACTCCTCTGCCCTTGTTCTTTTCATCCCTCCCATTTCTGCTCTTTATGCATGTTATCTTGGTGTTGCCATCCCTTCAGGCACCGGCCGGTGAATGAACCCCTGACCTCCAGAATGAAAGGGTGAGACAGAGGGAAGGAGGGAGAGGGTGGCAAAGACAGGAAAACCAGATGACTCGGGGGGGCGTCTGGGTGTGGAGGGGCAGCTGCCTGCCTCCGTTGTTAAATCTGTGGGCCATGGCCAGCATTCACACTGAAAGACTTGGAGGCAGAAGGAACAAGGAAGGAAGAGACAGATAGAAGGATGGAGGGATAAAGAAGGAGAAGGAGGGACTTGCACAGTGAGGACTGAAAGCTCATAGAGGTGAAAAGTTTAACAAGCAAAGCTGTTCCTCCTGATCGCAGGCTACCTAATCAGCTTCATGGGTGGCTGGCTAAATCGGCTCTCAACTCCCCTCACCCCAAACCTTTTCTCTTTTTCTCCCCCTCTTTCTAAGGTGTAGGCCATTTATTTTATTGCCACATTCACCCCAGCCCTCGTCTCCCCTCATTCTACCTCTCAATTTCCTTTCTTTTTCTATTTTTCTCTTTGCCCTGTCTGTGAAGAAAAGAAAGTGAACATGATGGGGAAAAAAGAAGAAAACAAAACAAAGGAAGGCTCTGACACAAGGGAGGGAGGGATAGATGAACTGGAGGTCTGGGGGTCTCTCTCTCAACTGGATTAGGAAACTGAGAATCAGAGGTTGGGTGGATGGAGAGACGGTTAGAGGAAGGGATAGAAGGACAGGCTTGACTAAACAGAGAAGTGGGTAGTGATGTAAGAAATGGGAAGATAGAGAGGAGCGGAAGGAGAAGGAAGGACTGTCAGAGAAATAGGCAATGAGGAAGGGGGTAGCCAGGCAGCTGAGGGGAAACAAATTGGGAGACAGGGGAAGGAAAAAAAATCTGAGGAAAATGTGAGTGCATCGACTCAGTGGGGATACTATTTATACATGTGGGAGAGACTGGGATGTATCTTTGTGTGAGTGAGTGTGTATGTGTGCGTGTCAGTTTGAGAAAAATTAAAATTCATGACTCTCTCCTCACAACCATTTGAGTAACAAGATTAAGATGGCGGGTTAGAAAATAGTGCTGGCATTATCAGGCTGCTTGCAGTCCCTCCAGCTGCACAACAGTGGGGATAAGAGGATAACGTGCTGGCCCTGTCTGTCCGTCCCAGCACAAGCCTTACACCCACAATCTAACAAACACACACACACACACACACAGGTTACGCTCCCACCGCACATCGGTCGGCCTGCTTGCTGTATAAAGACCCCTCTGAGAGTGTGTGTCACAGGGTGAAAGTGTGCGTGTGGTTAAAAAAACTGCAGAGTTGCAAGTTGGGGGCTGAGAAAAGATTTAAAAAGAATAGGTAAAATTAAAAAAAAACTTGCTCTACACATAAACGTGCAAAAAACAAAACAAAAAAACATGAAGGCAGACAGGGTATTTGAAATAAAAATCACTCTAGCTTTCTTCACAGCTACAAGAGTTAACAGCATCCGAGCCAAATGAAGGAGCTTGTGTAAGAAAATGAAGAAAAAAACCTCAAAACACAGTGATACATAAGAAATTACATATTTTAATTACATTAAATGTGAGTTTTTGTTTGGCTTTTATTGAAGGCTTCCATCAGCTTCACGGGGTATAATTTGGTCTTATCACTCTGTGGCTTTCAGCTGTATCATGATGTCCTCTTCATAAAGCGTTGACAATTTTTAAATGCAAGTGAGTGGCTGCTGACCACAACAACCAAATAAATCCTCAGTGGTCTCCTTTTATGAAACTTTCAGATTTTGCTAAGAGAATGGAAAAGGATGTAGTCAACACTTATTTCCAAAAGAGGAAGGAACATAGAGTGACCTATAAGAGTGGAGGAAGGAGTACGCAGGTCGACTA